TTCTTTGAAATTCTTTTCTTAAACAACTCAGCAATAAATATTTGATTAGTTTTTTAAATAATTTAATAAATTTATTAGTAATTGATTAATTTACACATTTTAAAATTTAATTTAAACTTAAATTTATACATTTAATTATCAACATTTTTAATGCAATATTTTTGTTACTTCATTACTTTTTAATCAGTTTACTGATTACTTACATAATTCAAAGAGCATAATTTATTTTCAAAATGAAAATCTAAATATAATATATGAATGAATTTATTAAGCCAAATGACCTTGCCAAAATTATCATAGCCAATAATTTTGGCAAGGTCATTAGATCATTTAGCTTAATCATTTAAAATCAGGTTTTGAGTTGTTGTTTATATATATATATAAACAGGTGTTATATAACAATTACTATGGTTGTTGAAATACTGAATATAAATGGTGTTTGCTTGCAAAATCTGCACGGAAGAAGTGTGGGTAACAGCTAGTTGAATAATATGACTGTTTACTAGTTGTGTTATTCAAATCAACTAAACTTTTATAACAAAATACTTTTTACAAGTGTTAATTTAAGTTTGATTTCAATGACTAAACTCAATATATATATATATGTATATATATTGAGTTTAGTCATTGAAATCAAACTTAAATTAACACTTGTAAAAAGTANATACATATATTTTTTTTAAACAGTGATGTTTTCAGATGAATGTCAAGAAATTGAAAATCACCTTAAATCTCTGTTATTGATGGGCTCAAAAACTACTGATTCAAGTTTAACGAGAGAAACAACTGTATATGAAAACAGTTGTTATCCACACGAAAACCAAAGATTGGTTTTCAGAGCAGAAAGGAGGAATAACACTATATTTAAAAATGATCATACACAAAATTTACAAAGAACTTCTGAAAATAAGAAACAAAGAAGAAAATTTCAAAGTGACTTTGTAGATCCTCGCGATAGACGATCCACTGCAGAAACTAGAAGATTGTTCTCTGGAGGACAGAATGCATTTACTGGGGAACAAAAGCGCGAACATTTTAATTCAAATTACAACAATAAACGGCGTCAAAGAAACCATAAAAAACAAAGTGATGTAAAAAGTGAACACAACCAATGTAATTCGTTCTATTCGACAGAATTTCTGTCCAGGGTTTCGGACAAAGATGTTCATGCCTCAGCTGAGAATGATGCTGATTTTGAACCAGAACTATTTTATCCAAAATATAGTCCGAAAAGCAAAGCTAAAGAAAGTAATAAGAAATCTAGAAATTATTTTAAAAGTGATAATGTTCCGAGAACATTTGTTCCACAGAAATCTCAAGCTGCAAGTTTTAAAGATAATAGTGATCAAGGTGTTCGAACTGATTCTGTAAATCTTGTTAAGGAAAGGCGAACTCAAGCCAATATATTTAGAAATGCTTTAGTGAAAACACGTTGTAATGAAACAAGTAAGTATTTTAAAACTAATAGTTTCATAATTATGCAGTTTGTAAATTAATGCATTATTCAAAGTAACTATTTAAAAACAATGGAGTCAGATTAATTATTCAATTCTTACTTAATTGTATTGTAGAAAAATACACAAAAAATTGTTTTTTTTTTTTTCCTTTCTGACTTACAGAGGGTAAGAGTGTAACTTTAAAATTCTAAAACATTACATCAATAATGAAATAAAAATTAAAGTTAAAAAAAAGGTAGAAGCAAACCTACTTTGCAGAGAAAAACACTTTTATTACATTGGTAAANACTTATAAACAATATACAAACAATATTGATCTTTAAAATAACTAAATTAAATAGATAAAGTTACAAAGCTGAATGCTATATCAACATAACTGAAATGTTATGCATATAGAATATACAAAATAACAGTTATTAGTTACATTAGTGTATGGTTCAGATGCAATTAAAATCTTAGAAATTTCTTATTTAAAAGTTCTGATTAGAAAAACACATTCTTCTTCTTCTTCAGTGTTAATATGGAGATTTTAGCTCTTTCTAGGCTCTTTCTCCGATTTCCCCACTCTCAGGTTCCCTTACTTAAATCGTCTGGTTCGTGCGATGTATGCTTCTAACGCCACCACTAGATGGCGGGGTGTGATCTGTGTTGTCGGCGCATATACATCCCACATAGTACTCTTATCTGTCAGTCTGACACCCAGGGCAGTTCCCAGGTCTCTGCGAGCGTTAGCATATTCCGGACATTCTAGCCAGAAGTATGCTGCCGTTTCCCTCTTCTTGCAGTGAGGGCAGTGAGGCGTGTCGTGTAGAGGTCTGGAGTGCAAAAAATCATTCAAAGGGGCCGTCTCCGTACGCAAGCGCGCTAGAATAGTCTCCATGTATCTGTTCGACGCGTAGTTATAGTGCCAGTTGACAAACGGACAAAGATAATCCCTGCTCTTCCTCCTCAAAAAACACAGTCTATGAAGAATTTTAATCTAAATATATAAAATTACTTGTCCTGACTGAATGACTGATTCATCATCACCCAGAGCAAACCGCTGAACCTAAAGAGGTGAAATTTGGTACACAGTTAGGGTACGTTGTGAAAACGCGCACTACGAAGGGATTTTTCGAAATTCCCCCATGGGGGAGAGGGAGAGGATTAAGGCTTAACCGGAAGAACAGCTTCTACTGTACTATTTTAGATGCGATTTTTTGTTTTCAACTACGTTTAGTCTTCATTGAGTACTTAGGTGTATTAAATTGATAACATTTCAGACATTGTTATAAATATTTTCATACATTTCGATTTTAAAAATGTTCGAACCATTTTAAATTCAAATTTGTTATTGCATATTGGTTCAATTATAGAACGATTGTAAACATTCCAGAAAATTGATCAAATTGAAAATAGTTCATTTGATTCTCAGCAACTCTCATCATTCTCAGCAGTAGGTGTTATATAACAATTACTATGGTTGTTGAAATACTGAATATAAATGGTGTTTGCTTGCAAAATCTGCACGGAAGAAGTGTGGGTAACAGCTAGTTGAATAATATGACTGTTTACTAGTTGTGTTATTCAAATCAACTAAACTTTTATAACAAAATACTTTTTACAAGTGTTAATTTAAGTTTGATTTCAATGACTAAACTCAATATATATACATATATATATATATTGAGTTTAGTCATTGAAATCAAACTTAAATTAACACTTGTAAAAAGTATTTTGTTATAAAAGTTTAGTTGATTTGAATAACACAACTAGTAAACAGTCATATTATTCAACTAGCTGTTACCCACACTTCTTCCGTGCAGATTTTGCAAGCAAACACCATTTATATTCAGTATTTCAACAACCATAGTAATTGTTATATAACACCTACTGCTGAGAATGATGAGAGTTGCTGAGAATCAAATGAACTATTTTCAATTTGATCAATTTTCTGGAATGTTTACAATCGTTCTATAATTGAACCAATATGCAATAACAAATTTGAATTTAAAATGGTTCGAACATTTTTAAAATCGAAATGTATGAAAATATTTATAACAATGTCTGAAATGTTATCAATTTAATACACCTAAGTACTCAATGAAGACTAAACGTAGTTGAAAACAAAAAATCGCATCTAAAATAGTACAGTAGAAGCTGTTCTTCCGGTTAAGCCTTAATCCTCTCCCTCTCCCCCATGGGGGAATTTCGAAAAATCCCTTCGTAGTGCGCGTTTTCACAACGTACCCTAACTGTGTACCAAATTTCACCTCTTTAGGTTCAGCGGTTTGCTCTGGGTGATGATGAATCAGTCATTCAGTCAGGACAAGTAATTTTATATATTTAGATTAAAATTCTTCATAGACTGTGTTTTTTGAGGAGGAAGAGCAGGGATTATCTTTGTCCGTTTGTCAACTGGCACTATAACTACGCGTCGAACAGATACATGGAGACTATTCTAGCGCGCTTGCGTACGGAGACGGCCCCTTTGAATGATTTTTTGCACTCCAGACCTCTACACGACACGCCTCACTGCCCTCACTGCAAGAAGAGGGAAACGGCAGCATACTTCTGGCTAGAATGTCCGGAATATGCTAACGCTCGCAGAGACCTGGGAACTGCCCTGGGTGTCAGACTGACAGATAAGAGTACTATGTGGGATGTATATGCGCCGACAACACAGATCACACCCCGCCATCTAGTGGTGGCGTTAGAAGCATACATCGCACGAACCAGACGATTTAAGTAAGGGAACCTGAGAGTGGGGAAATCGGAGAAAGAGCCTAGAAAGAGCTAAAATCTCCATATTAACACTGAAGAAGAAGAAGAATGTGTTTTTCTAATCAGAACTTTTAAATAAGAAATTTCTAAGATTTTAATTGCATCTGAACCATACACTAATGTAACTAATAACTGTTATTTTGTATATTCTATATGCATAACATTTCAGTTATGTTGATATAGCATTCAGCTTTGTAACTTTATCTATTTAATTTAGTTATTTTAAAGATCAATATTGTTTGTATATTGTTTAGCCTGTCAACAATGAATTTTTCACTCNAAGTCTCCGTAGATATAACAAGTACAGAAATAAATAACACAAAATAAATTGTAGCTATGTGTTGATTCCGCATGACACATCTGAACATGTAAGCTGAACAGTAGTGTGGGGGGAAATGAATAATCAAGAGTTGCGTGGTGTTCAAACAAAAGACAAATCGAAGAGATTTGAAAATCGCGTAACTCTGGGTTTGCATAAGTCAAGGTATTACTGTATGTTATTTAGCAATGCAGACTGTAACATTTTAATTTTCTGTCATATTAGTTTTAATATCGCTGATGTTTTTGAAAAGTGTAATTTGTGTAATATCAGTTGTTTTTATCATTTTTCTAAAGAATTAATGTTTTTTATATTCAAATGTTAAAACTATGAGAAATTATAAGACAAATATTTTTAGATTGCCAGATAGATTAATTTAACATTGAAATTAATTTAAAATGGAATAAGCTAACTATTTTAAATAAAAATTAATGGCTTTTAAAATATATCAAAATAGACAATGACTAAAACTTTTAATATTTCAGAATGATTTACCTTCTGAGGTTAATACAGTACTTACTGCTGATGATCAAGCATGTGGTTCACCAACAAAAACCAGTTCACCTGAAGTTGTATCAGATGCACAATGTAAAAATGAGACAACCAATCAGTCTGCTAAAATGCCGGATTTATCAGGTAAATCATGTTTAAAAATTTTTATCACCATTAATTTTTTTTATACAAGTTAAATATTTTAATCAAATCTTTTCAATAGTAAAGGGGAAATTAGATTTACCTTCACCAAATTTCTTAAAGGTAAAAGCAAAATATGAAGCACTCAAAGCAAATCCCCAAGACAATTTTATTACTTCATGCACTAAGGTAAAATATTATGAAATATTTACAGAGTTAAAAAATAATATATAATTTACACCTATTGTTGTTATAATTTTTGCAGCCAAACTGCAATTGTTCAGCTAATGTTATTTATTGCACATTGTGTGATTTCCATATAGAAAATGAGAAAGAATTGACAAAACATAAGAAGAATATCAGTCACCAGTTACGAAGAGAGGTAAATTAAATTGATTATAATTAAAGCATATATAAGTTTAAAAAAAAAGTTTTCAGTTTATGAAATCTGATTTTTAGGATTTCTATCGAGTACAATATTTAAAAGAATTACCACCACCTACAGAAACTCAGTTCCAGAAAATGGAAGAACTGTTCGATAAAATATATAAACACTATTCTCAAGAATATGAAGATGTGAATATACGTTTTTCTGTTGTAGACAAATTAAAATTGGTATTAAAAGATGTGACTAAAGGTAATGTAAAAAGTATTTTCAAAATTATATATTTTAAAGTTTAAACTGTTTCCCAATATTTTATTTTTGTCATTTATAATTTTTATAGACTTTTAAAATGAATGGCAAACTGCAATTGCTTATCATGCAATTCTGTAAAAAAAATAATAAATAAATTTTTTAAGCTAAGATAAATCCAATAAACAACTTTGATATTGAGGGCAACATACAAGAAGTACAAGGGTGGATCAAATATAAACGGTAACTTTTTTTAGACATTTATTGATTAATAATATACACAAGTGAAAACTTTAGTTCTTCTCTACATATCCTCCTGCAAGCTCTACACACTTTTGCCAATGATTTGATAGCTTTAATATCTCTCTCTCATAAAAAGATTGAGAGCAAGTTATGAGCCAATTGCGCATGTGCTCCTCAACTTCTTCATTGTTTGCGAATCGTTTTCCTCCAAGTGATTCCTTCAAGAGTGCGAACAAAAAACAGTCACAAGGGAACAAGTCTGAACTATAAGGAGTGTGTTCAAGGGTTTCCCAGCCCATTTCTTCCAATTTATTCCTTGTCAAGAACACGGTGTGAGGCCTGGTGTTGTCATGAAGAAGGATGACATTTCTGATAGGCATACCTCATCTTTTGCTTCAATAGGCAGCTTTTGCTGACTGTAACAGCTGGCAGTAGTTAACAACTTCAACAGTTAACCGGCGATCACGTTCAATAAGCTCTTGAATGGCATGGATGTTTTCAATAAATATAAACCATTCAACTATCCAGCAAAATTCTTTAATAATTTAAAAACGTTTTCAAACGCATTAAGCGTTCATCTTCAGTTATTTCTCCATTCGAAATGTGAAATTCGAAAAATTACGCAACGGAAATTCCAAATAACGATTATGTAAAAAATTAAAAGGTAACGCGTTACAAATGAAAGTGCTATATACAAATATTCGTGTGCTCAATAAACAATAATAATAATAATAAAATAATAACAAAAAATAAAATAAATAAATATACTTATATACAATTAAAATTGTAAAATACAATATAAAAAATAAACCTTTTAATTCTGTGATATATTATAGAACTGATTAGGGCTGGCGACTGTTTCAAGTGGCAAAATGATGGCTAGCAAAATGCTATTTAAAAAAGTAAATAATAATAAGCCAAAGACTCTATAAAGTGAAGTTTCATAAATGGACTTTAAAGTTGTTTAAAAATACTTTATGCGAAAGTGATCTTCATTAATAATCATTCTAGAAGCAAGTTTGGCAAAAATTAGTTTTGTCTCAGATGCAAATTAGCATTGAGTCAGCAGTGGTACTCAAAGACAATTTTTTTTTTAATTATGTAACTTTGAATAAAAAAAAATCTATTCTCTCACATGGAAAGTGAGAATGGTTACATTAATAAGAAACAGTTGTCATTTGTAAATCTGTCTGCTTATTGTCATTTATCTTCCAAGTGTAAATTCTTTAGTCATGAAACATAATTTTATGAGCCAAATTCATCATTTTAATTTATCAAATAATTACTTATATAACAAAATTAAATCAAAATTTATTTATAATAATTGTGTGATTAATAATAAATATAATTGACAAACTCCTAAATAAATATAGTAATTCCATGAACTTACGCGATAGGTGGGACTGAGCGATAACTGCGTAAGTTGGGGTATAATTTTGCAATTTGTGTAAAATCCAAATCGGATGTATGTAAGCTAATAAATGTTCTCGTTAATCTTATCTTGTCTTTTGATTTGTTCACGATTACAAGAAATCACCACGTAGAGTCTCTCAAGTCTCCGTAGATATAACAAGTACAGAAATAAATAACACAAAATAAATTGTAGCTATGTGTTGATTCCGCATGACACATCTGAACATGTAAGCTGAACAGTAGTGTGGGGGGAAATGAATAATCAAGAGTTGCGTG